GTGTAACTTTGTAGACCAGGCTGGTCTCTAACTCACAGAGATCCACCTGTCTCTACCTCTTGAGTGGGATTAAAGGTGGGTGCCACCACTGCCTAGTTTAATTTTTATAAGAATCCTATACAACTGGAAGTATTGTGTCTCACTCTCTCTTATCTGTAAAGATGAAGAAATAATCCCATAAAATTAGGTAACAACAGAAAGGCGTTTTGTGTTGTTGTTAAATTATGTCTCAGAAACACGCATGCATGCGTCACATGTCAATCCCAGCTCCCTCTCCCACCGCTCCTCCCTTGTCCCTCCACCAGTCCTCCCTCCAGCCCCTCACTCAATCTCCACATCATTCCCCAGGGAGGGTGAGGCCCTCCTTGGGGGCAACTCCAGAGTCTGACATTTCATCCAGGGCAGGACCTAGGCCCTTCCCCATGTGTCCAGGCTGAGAGAGCATCCCTCCATGTGGAATGGGCTCTCAAAGTTCATTCGTACACCATGGTAAACACTGATCTACTATCCAAGGCCCCAGAGATTTCTGAGGCCTCCTCACTGACACTACATTCATGTGGTCTGGATCAGTCCCCTGTTGGCCTCTCAGCCATCAGTCTGGGGTTCAAGAGCTTCCCCTTGTCCTGTCAGCTGTATTTGTGGGTTTCACCAGCATGGTCTTGACGCCTTTGCTCATCACTCCTCCATCTCTGTCACTGGGTTCCAGGAGTTCAGTTTAGTGTTTAGCTGTGGGTATCTGTCTCTGATTCCATCAGTCACTGGATGAAGGTGCTAGGATGGCATATAAGGTAGTCATCAACCTTATCATCAGGGAGGGACTATTAATGTAGTCTCTCCATTATTGCTTAGTTTAACGGTTGGTGTTATCCTTGTAGATCTCAGGAAATCTAACTAGTGTCAGCTCTCTCCTCAAACCTATAATGCCTCCATCTATTATGGTATCTCTCATCCTGCTCTCCTCTATTCTAACCTCGACTCAATCTTCCTGCTCCCCCAAGCCTTCTTCTCCCCTCCTCTTATCCCCCCTCTCTTTTTTCTGGTTCCCTCTCCCCTCCCCTGATGTTCCTAATCTGCTCAGGAGATCTTGCCTCATTCCACTTCTCTGGGGTATCATGCATATCTCTTGGGAACCTCCCTGTTTTCCAGACTCACTGGCATTGAGATTGTAGGCTGACACTCCACTGATCCAAGTCTAAAATCCATATATGAATGAGTACATACCATGTTAGTCTTTTTGTGACTGTGTTACCTCACTCAGGATGGTTTCTTCTAGTGCCATCCATTTGCCTGCAAATTTCAAGATACCATTATTTTCACTTAGTAGTACTCCATTGTGTAAATGTACCACATTTTCTCTATCCACTCTTCAGTTGTGGGACATCTAGGTTGCTACCAGGATCTAAATATTACATATAATGCTGCTATGAACATAGTGGAGCAGAATTCCTTGTTGTATGAATGGGCATCTTTTGTGTATATGCCTAAGAGTGGAATTGCTGGGTCTTGTGGTAGACTGATTTCCATTTTCCTGAGGAATCTCCTTACTGATTTCCAAAGTGATTGTACAAGTTTGCACTCCCACCAGTAATGGACAAGTGATCCCCTTTCTCCATATCCTCTCCAGCATAGACTGTCATTGGTGTTTTTTATTTTAGTGATTCTGACAGGAGTGAGATGGTATCTTGGATTTGTTTTCATTTGCATTTCCCTAATGGCTAAGGATGTTGAGCACTTTCTTAAGTATCTCCCAGATATTTTAGACTACTCTATTGAGAATTCTCTATTTAGTTCAGTCCCCCCACTTTTTAATTGGATCCTTTGGTGTTTTGGAGACTTGTTTCTTGAGTTCTTTGTAAATTTTGGAGATCAGCCCTCTGCCAGATGTGGGGTTAGTGAATATCTTTTCCCAATCTGTGGGGTGCCTTTTTGTCTTGCTGACTGTTTCCTTTGCCTTACAGAAGCTTCTCAGTTTCAGGAGGTCCCATTTATTAATTGTCGATCTCAGTGTTTGTGCTACTGGTGTTATGTTCAGGAAACAGTCTCCTGTACCAATTAGTTCAAGGGTATCTCCCACTTTCTCTTTTAACAGGTTCGGGGTGGCTGGATATATGTTGAGGTCTTTGATCCATTAGAACTTAAGTTTTGTGCAGGGCGATAGACATGGATCTATCTGCAGTCTTCTATATGCCAATATCCAGTTATGTCAGCACCATTTTTTGAAGTTGCTTTCTTTTTTCTATTGTATAATTTTAGCTTCTTTGTTGAAAATCAGGTGTTCTTAGGTTTGTGGATTAATCTCAGGGTGTTCAATTCGATTCCATTGGTCTACCTGTCTATTTTTGTGCCAATACCAAGCTGTCTTCAGGACTATAGCTCTATAATAGAGTTTGAAGTCAGAGATGGTGATGCCTCCAGATGTTGCTTTGTTGAGCAGGGTTGTCTTGGCTGTCTTGGTTTTTTTGTTTTTCCATATAAAGTTGAGAATTGTTCATTCAAGGTCTGTGAAGAATTGTGCTGGGATTTTGATAGGAATTGCCTTGAGTCTGTAGATTGCTTTTGGCAGGATTGCCATTTTTACTATATTGATCCTACCTATCCAAGAGCATGGGAGATCTTTTGATTTTCTGGTGCCTTCTTTAATTTCTTTCTTTAAAGACTCAAAGTTTTTGCTATACAGGTCTTTCACTTATTTGGTTAGTGTTACCCCAAGGTATTTAATGTTGGTTGTGGCTATTGTAAAGGGCAATGTTTCTCTGATATCTTTCTCATCCCTTTTATCGTCTGTATATAGTAGGGCTACTCATTTTCTTGAGTTGATCTTGTATCCTGCCACATTGCTGAAGGTGTTTATAAGCTGCAGGAGTTCCCTGGTAGAGCTTTTTGTGTCTCTTATGTAAACTATCATACCATCTGCAAATAGTGAAAGTTTGACCTCTTCCTTTCCAATTTGTATCCCCTTGATCTCCTTTTGTTGTCTTATTGCTCTGGCTAGAACTTCGAGTACAATATTGAAGAGGTATGGGGAGAGGAGAAAGTTTTGCCTTGTTCCTGATTTTAGACGAATTGCCTTGAGTTCTATCCATTCAGTTTGATGTTGGCTGTTGGTTCGTTATATATAGCTTTTATTATGTTTAGGTATGTTCCTGTTATCCCAGATCTCTCCTAGAGATCATAAAGGGGTCTTAGATTTGTCAAAGGCTTTTTCAGCATCTAGTGAGATGATCATGTGATTTTTGTTTCTTAGCTTGTTTTTTATGGTGGATTTCATTGATGTATTTTGATATGTTGAACCATCCCTGCATCCCTGGAATGAAGCCTACTTGATCATGGTAGATGAGTTTTCTGATATGTTCTTGGATCTGATTTGCCATTATTTAATTGAGTAATTTTGCATCAATGTTCATGAGGGATATTGGTCTGAAGTTCTCTCTCTTAGTTGTGTCTTTGTGTGACTTGGGTATCAATGTTATTGAAACCTCGTAAAAAGAGTCTGACAAAGACCCTTCTGCTTCTATTGCATGGAATGCTTTGAGGAGAATTGGTATAAGTTGTTCTTCGAATTTCTGGTAAAATTCTGCACTGAAGCCATCTGGCCCTCCCTGGACTTTTTTTTTTTGGTTGGGAGACTTTTTTGATGACTGCTTCTATTTCCTTAGGTGTTATAGGTCTATTTAAATTGCTTATCTGTTCTTGATTTAATTTTGGCAAGTGATATCTATCCATAAAATTGTCTATTTCCTTTAGATTTTTAAATTTTGTGGAGTATAGCTTCTCAAAATATGACCTGATGATTCTCTGGATTTCCTCAGTGTCCATTGTTATGTCTCCCTTTTCATTTCTGATTTTGTTAATTTGCATGTTCATACTCTGCCGTTTGGTAAGTTTGGATAAAGGTTTGTCTATCTTGTTGATTTTTCTCAAAGAACCAACTCTTTGTTACATTGATTCTTTGTATTGTTTTCCTGGTTTCTACTTTATTGATTTCAGCCCTCAGACAGAAAGGAGTTTTACCAATGGGAAGAAGGAAAGGAGTGGGAGGAGAGGACAAAAGAAAAAGGGGGAGTATGGGACAAAGAGAGAGAAGCAGAAGGGAAGAAATGAAAGAGGGAATAGGAAGACAAAGGAAGTAAGGAAGAAAAGAGATCACAGGATAATGACCACTCAGGAGCAAAAGCCTACTTGGGTTCTGTCCAGATCTAGCAATCAATATACAGATCTCTGGTACACAAAATCCAGCCACAATCAAGCCAGAGAAATTTTGGATTTGGGTAACTCTTGACCATTTTAGTGCAGCACCCCATACTTTCTGTTTTGGGATTTTGTCTGGCTTTTTGTTTGCTTTAGTTTGGCTTTTTGCTATCCACCCTATCTCTCGCACCTAGCAGGGCAATCATGGGAACGACCTGCCTTGTCTGAAAATAGACTTTCTTTGGAGTTTGGTAGAATGTTGTGCCAACATGGGTTTGTTTACATGTTAAATGGAGCATTGGGTAGCTTGACTGTTGCTTGAGAACTGTAGCATTTGCTTCATTTTAACGTTTACAGGTGCCCCCTTACTCTTAGAATGACACTATGCTTCTCTTCTGTTCTGCAGGTTGATTACCATAGTAAAAGAAGACTAGATCTAGAATCCCATGTTTAGATCACAGATAGCTTCATTCCCTCTCTAGCTGTGTCTAGTTAGGCAGACCACAACTTTACTATGTATGGCCTATGTTCTCCTAAAACAAATGTGTTATGATGCTGAACAAAAACACATGCAAGACCATGTTTTCAACTGCAAGCACATTACAATTCTACAGTATGACTTTGTCTCATAAATATCTACTTTTATCCTGAATAATTTACATGTTTTCCTTTATTTTACTTTTTGGTCTTCTTGCTTTGTTCCCCCATTATTTCTCAAAAGACATATGTGCTCAGGGATCCAATAAGCATTATTTGCAAGCAGCCTGTGTACCCTCCTGATGGATTCCTCTTACTTTTTCCTTTACTTATAGAACTCTTCAAAACTGAAAAACATCAAAAGTAACAAGATGTGATGGGAGCCACTTGGACAATGAGCATAAATGTTGCAATGGAAAAGGAAACCTCGTCTTCTAGCTGAAAAACAACTATTCCCCATTGGACTCTAGAAGAATCTGGACTGACCACTAAAAAGACAAAAATAAGCTTAAAAGTTTTAACGTATAAAGCTCAAAGAAAGACCTATGATATGGAATTTAAATTGTCTTTTCTGATTCCTGAAACACACACATGCTGTTTCCTTGTTGCTTAAGACATATCTATTTAATGTGCATATTTTTATGTTTCTTACTTTTGCTATCAATAATTAGCAAATGGAAATAATTTTACATTTCAATTATTGAGTAAAATCCTATTTTAAAAGTCTAAACTCTTACTGAATTTTCACCTTTTTTCTAACAAATTTCTTCCCATTTTTCTAGTTTTATCATTATTTCTGCTGAGACTCAAGGAAAATTAATTACATCTGAGAATGACTTAAAGTGCCCAAGTTTCTTCTCTGGTTCCCTGGGAACTGTGAAAGGAGTTTGACCTCGCAGTTTTAATTTGTTTTATAAATACACTGTAAATAAATGTCAAGTCTCAATGGCAAAAGTCATTATGAGTCAAAGAACCTTTTCTGACCTCCTCCTTCTAATTCTAAAAGAGAGAGCTCTTGGCTGAATCATCACCCAGGTTTTGATAATCCGCCTTGTATTTTATGTACTATATTCTCCACAATGCTTTGAATGAATGGTTATTAGAATTGTAGCAAACCATTTAGCTAATTATAATATTTGATGAGAGGAAAAGGCAATATAATTGTAACAAATCATATAAATACAGTTGACAGAAGCCAAAATGATTCTTAATGACTACATAATAGAATGGTACATATAGTTGTATGCCTGTAAAATTAAGGGCAAACAAATTTTTATAAGTTTTCTTATGTGTTAAATGCACAAGAATAATACTACTTTCTCTCTACCAGCATGAAGAGACTAAGGATTTTTCTAGTTAGGCTACATAGAGAATAATGAGAAGTCTTAGGTTTTGTTCATAGGTCAAACTTCTTACAGTGCTTGATTCTGATCTCATAATTAATTTATAAGTTGGGAGAACTTATTTGATGATTTAGTACTTTAGAGCCTCTAAAGATAATAAATCATGTGGCAATATTCATTATATATAAATAACCACAGCTAGAAATCTTTCATATAATGTTTATATTCTGATTTCTTGCCTTCTCTCATTTTTTCTCTTTAAGTAATAACAAATCCTGATAACAATGCTTTGAAGATTGCTTAATGACTTTAGTGTCATAATATTGTGTGTTGTCTATAATTTCTAAAATTTTAGGAGGTTGTTTCACTTTTATCTATTTTTTTCCAGTTTGAGCAGGAAAATTGAAAAGTTTATGTCTCTGTATTTGAGTATTTGAATGCCACAGAGAATCATGACTCAACAGCCTGGGAAAGCTATACTATGGGAGTTCTGAGAAAAATAAAATTTGTCATTTTTTAGCTTATGGTGAGCACTGAATATTTTTTAGTTTTTGGTATATTATATGAGCACAATTGAATTTGTACTTTTTGTAAGCCCATGTCTTTGACTAATACACAAAAATGAATTCTTTTTCTTTGGTTGTGAATCATCAAGGACTTCCCACTGGAAATCATGTCTAACATTTCTAACTTAATGTAAGTCCCTTTGCATACTCTCCTTCTTGGTATCAAAATGTAGTAAACTTTATGACTTGTCCATGTTCTTGAAAAGTTGGAAATAAAATTTATATTTTTTACCTGTATGTGTTTCTGGCTGTGCTTAACTGTGAAATAAGTTACTTTCTCTAACAATTAAGTCAAAACATTCTTTAACTAGAACTGAAACAAGTTTTTCACTTTGGTAGGTTTGCAATGTTGGGCCCAGTCATAATGACCAAATTTCACAGGGTAGCCTTTGTTAGTATTCAGTCATCTATGTCAGGAGTAGTTACTAGTTACTAATTCTACCGGTTAAAAAGCTACCTTCTGTAATATTGAGGCACTTTGAGGGATGACGTGTCAGTTAAGGCTACTATTGCTGTGATGAAACCCCATGACAAGAAGCAACTTGTGGAAGAAAGGTTTATTTCACTCACAGTTCCATGTGACAGTTCATCATCAAAAGCAGTGAGGGCAGGAAATTACACAGGGAAGGAACCTGGAAGCAGGAGCTAATGCAGAGACCATGGAGGGTGCTGCTTACTGACTTGTTCCCCATGGCTTACTCACCCTGCTTTCTTAGAGAATCCAGGACCACCAGCCCAGGGGTGCCACCACTCACAATTGGTTAGGACTTCCCCCACCATCAATCAGTAGTTAAGAAAATGCCTTATAGATGGATCCTATGGAGGCATGCTCTCTTAATTGAAGTCCCCTTCTTTCTGATGACTCCAGCTTGACTCAAGTTGACATAAAACTAGACAGGACACATGGCACCTGGGAAAGTTAGTGCTGACTTGTTAGGACACATGGGACCTGGGAAGGTCAGTGTTGACTTGCCAACCTGACACGATCTATAATCAGCTGGGAGACAAACCTCTGGGCATACCTTTGAGGGATTGTTTAGACCAGGTTAGACTCTGGGCATGCCTGTGAGGGATTGTTCAGACCAGGTTAGCTATGGGCATGCCTGTGAGAGATTATGTTGATTAGGTTGATGGAGGTGAGACTGTCCACCATAAAGGAGGGCACCAGCACTGCCTGAGCTTGGATGCAAATAAAGGAGTGAGCCCAGCTGAGCACCCGCATGCAGCTTTTTCATGCTTCCTGACTGCTGGTGCAATGGGATCAAATGCTTTCATGACTTGAGAGTCTATACCCTGGGACTTATGCCCAAATAATCCATCCTTCCTACCACTGATTTTTTTAGGAGGTTTTTTTTTTAATCACATCAGCAGAAAATACCCGTTGAAAGGCACTATGCCGGTAAAGAAAAGTAATTTCTTTGAAATGGATTGGCTAGATTCTTATATCAGGACTTCAATATAAAAACTTTGGATTCTCTAAGAAAGCATTTAATGTGACTTTCAGGTTGTTACATTACAGTTTAGTCAAGTGCCTGCTAAATTGGAGAGAAAGTACAAATTTGTGGGAAGAAAGAGCTAGAATTAGGATACAAGTGGAGGTTGATAATTTAGGATACTAAAAATGGAATCTAGTAGCTTGGACATATTTCTTTAAATTTTGCTATCAAAATATTTGTAGGATTTTACCACTTGCTGCTTCTACTCCTACTATCATAATTCAAACATCAACCAACTCCTTTGGTCTGTTTTGATAACCCTGCAGCATCCTCTCCATTCTTGGTCTTGGTGTAGAACGGGTGTTCTACTGCAGTACAGAATGGGCATATTATAACATCACACATGTAGGGGAAAAGGGCCAGCTAAAAACACACCCTGAGCAGAGACAAAGAAACATGCTTTGGTCCTGCAACCAGAACCAAAGCAATACAACCTGACCCTGAAACCAGTGTCAAAGAAACACACTTTGACCCTGAAACCAGAGCCAAATGTGCCCCCGACCAAGTGCAGAAAACTAACCAATCCCTAAGCAGATCTAGCCATCCTAAACTAGGGATTGATATCTGACCAACTCCCACCCTAGAAAACTCCACCTCCTAAGAATCCCTATGTAAACCCTGTGTCTATTCAGCTTGTGGCTGTTCCCGCTGCCTGACTGTTCTCTGCCACCTTGGCAGAGGGCAGCCACCCTCCTGGATTATTCCCTACCCAATAAATCTCTTGAACGAGGTTTGGGTGAAGACCTTCTTTTGATGGAGCAGAGACCACCCTGGGTGGAGCAGAGCAGCAGGGCTGTAACACTTTTCACTGGGGAAACCTTCCCTGGCTAAACAAAGCTGTTATACTCCTCTCTCCGGAGGACTGGAGCCAGCTGAACTGTAACAACTTTGCTAGGAAGCCCTCTCCTGCCAGAGCAGAGCTGATACACTAGGAAAGCCTTTCCCTGAAGCAAGACTGTTAATTGCTATGCTTACTGTGACCTCTGATATTCCTTGGCTCCTGAGTGCCAGAATACCTTTCTATCCAAGCTGTAACACTCAGTATTCTTTGGCTCCTGAGTGTCATAATCCATCCCTGTCCATTCCATCCGATCACACAGTTCATCTTGCTTCTCTCTGCATTTGCTTGCAACTTTAGACTTTGCCTTTCTTCCTCCCAGCATTCTCTGTTTGGCTCTCCCACCTAACCTTATCTTCTTCAGCTATTGGCCAGTCAGCTTCTTTATTAAACCAATCATAGCAACATAAATTCACACAGGGTGAATGAATATTCTACAGTCAACCCCAACACCTCAGGCTCAGATGTGGGGAGCAGAAGAAGCTCTGAGTGAGTGAAGTCCCAAGTAAATGTGTGTGTGTTCTTGTTGACATGGAGATAACCATGTCAAGGACCCCAGAGCCTCAGACACATGAAGGAATAGAAACACGTTCTCCCTCTGAATATGGCTTAGAGAAAAATGCCAGTACCTTCCTCTCATCCATGTGTGGATACTAATAGTGTGTGCAGAAAATATCCACCATAACTTTCTCCAACTTTGTAATGCTTACTGCCTCCTACAGAAAGACTGCTCTCCTACAGAGACTCTTCGATGGAGAGTGATTAAACCTGTCCCATTGATCCAGCTGCATACCATAATCTATGCCTGATTATTTATCTGTATGTAATAACCTCACTTCTTTGTTCAGTTATATATGATAACCCCACCTCTCTGTTCAGCTCTGTATAATGAACAAGCTGAGCTTCCCAGGTGCTGTAGTTTTTCCATCAGAAAGACCAGACCACCTGATCCCAATCCCACCCCCCTCTGTGTGTGTGTTTGTCTTTTTTTTTTAAATTCTTGCACCTCCCCCAGATAGTCAAAGTCCCTGGAAACTTAGTGCAAAAGACTTGGCACTCAGAGAATCACAAAAGAGGGAGCAGAAAGTGTGTGAGGGTCAGAAGACCAGGAAGTCTTCAGTGAGATAGTGTCCTCTGTATATGAAAGGGAAAACATAGCCATAACTCTCAACATGATGCCTGAACAAGATGAACATAATGATACCAGTGGACAAGCCAACATGGACATGACTTTCCTTTTAATCTCAAATTAAGCTTCCATTTGAGTCTTTCTTATGTTTTTCAACAACAACACGGAGAACACCAAGAACGACTCCAATTTCTCCTGTATGGAAGAATATGGTGGCTCTGCTGGACCACCCCAAGATTTCCAGGAACACCACCTTTTTGCTTTTTAAGTTTTTAGCTGGTGGAGGAAACAAACCCCATTCTACACCCCTAGATGGCAGCAATGTACTCAGAGTCATAGGCAGTCTAAGGAAATGCATATTAAAACCACAGTAAGATATAGCATTACAAAACCAGCAGACATCTAAAATTTAAAGAAAAGGATAAATTTTGAAGAAAGTCTGTAGCAGCCAGATCTCTCATGGGTTCCTGATGGGAGTATAAATTTATCCATGTAAATATAAATCTATATTGTAGATATAGATATGCTAATGCAAAATATAGACTTCTACTATGACCTAAACTTCTACTCCAAAAATCTAATTTTTAAAAAAGCAATGCCCTTGAAAACTATGAAGGAATACTCTTACAGATGCTTTGCTTAAAATGTTTCCAAACTGCAAGCAGCCTGTGCCTTGGAGCAGTGTAATAGACAAGGAAACTGTAGTGTAATCACACAATACTTAGGGTGCATCAGTGCAAGGTAAACCACCAATAAACGAAGCAACTTGAATATATTTCAAACCCATAGGTGTCAATGGTAGAAACGGGTATAATAGTAACACATGATATTCGACTGGATGCATGTGAATTTGGGGAACAGACAACACTGCTTCGAGGTGAAAAAAACGGGGGATATTCTTTGCTTGTTCTGGTTCTGTGAGAGAGCACCCTAGTGCTTCCTGGTTGGCCGGCAATTCCAATTATTAGTCCTTGCTATGTTTGTATGGGAACAGATTTAAACTGGTTAAGCTTTGATCTTTAGAAGAGTGCATGTCACTGCTGTATGTGATAAATCAAAGACAGGAGGAACACCAACCTCAGACTAGAATTCACCTGATGTAAAGACCAAAAGAGATTGTTTAGGAAGCCTATGGGACTAACAATGGCTTAACAGTGTAACATTTCTTATTTATTATGTGTGCATGATGTTTTATGCATATGAATTATGTCATAATAGGGAAAAACAATGACACAAGAATAGCATTGTCTTTTGCCCTGATTAACAGAGAGGCCAATGTTCCACAAACCTGCAAAATAAGCCTAAGAATCCTTAGTATGCAATTTATTTGATCATATTGTAATATTCTTTGGCATAGTCTGTTGCTCTAGTCTGGCTGAACTGTATTTTCCACTGGAATGATCTCATAAATATTTTCTTATGTTTATCCCACATGCTAATGAAAGATAAGGAATATATTTTCTTCAGCATGTTCCTTAAAATGTCTGAAATACTTTTGTCGAAAATAAATGCTTTTGACATAGTATGTCAGAAATCTTTTCTTTGGTATTGAACAGAAAAGCTAAACTCTTCAGTATGTACAATAAAAGTTTTTGTGGTACTTAATGCACATTATATTCATACACAGTTGGAGGTAACCTTGGCACTTTTTTTTTTGCCCTTTGTGCATTTTGAGAAAGCACCAAATTTGACTTTTTCTAATGCCTGAAAAGGTACATCTAGAGTTGTTTTTCTATGTTAGAGATCCATAGTAAGTTAGTAGGAAGAAGCCCCA